GCGATCTCGGATTCCAGCTCCGCCTTCTCCTCCTCCAGCTGGTCCGTCTCCTGCGGGGACAGCGCGGGGTCAGCGGGGGTGGCGTTGTCACCCGGTTTGGGGACATCCCGTGTGTGCCTGCGATTGTCCCTAAGCGCGGGGATGGCATTGTCACCCGGTTTGGGGACATCGCGTGGGGTCTCTGAGGGTCCGGGGGTGTCCCCGAGTCTGGGGTGGCTTTGTCACCCATTTGGGGACATCGCGTGGGGTGTCTATGTGTGCTCGTGGATGTCCCTAAGCCCGGGGGTGGCGTTGTCACCCGGTTTGGGGACATCCCGTGGGGTGTTTGAGGGTCCGGGGATGTCCCCGAGTCTGGGGGTGGCGTTGTCACCCGTTTGGGGACATCGCGTGGAGTGTCCCTGTGTGCCCGTGGATGTCCCCAGGCCTAGGGGTGGCGTTGTCACCCGGTTTGGGGACAACTCTTGGAGTGTTTGTGTGTGCCCGTGGGTGTCCCCGAGTCTGGGGGTGGCGTTGTCACCCGGTTTGGGGACATCCCGTGGGGTCTCTGAGGGTCCGGGGATGTCCCCGAGTCTGGGGGTGGCGTTGTCACCCGGTTTGGGGACACCCCTTGGAGTGTTTGTGTTTGCCCGCGGGTGTTTCCGAGTCTGGGGGTGGCGTTGTCACCCGTTTTGGGGACATCGCGTGGGGTGTTTGAGGGTCCGGGGATGTCCCCGAGTCTGGGGGTGGCGTTGTCACCCGGTTTGGGGACATCCCGTGTGTGTCTGCGGGTGTCCCTAAGCGCGGGGATGGCGTTGTCACCCGGTTTGGGGACATCGCGTGGGGTGTCTGTGTGTGCTCGCGGGTGTCCCCGAGTCTGGAGGTGGCATTGTCACCCGGTTTGGGGACATCCCTTGGAGCCTCTGAGGCTCTGTGTGTGCTCGCGGGTGTCCTTAAGCGCCGGGATGGCGTTGTCACCCGGTTTGGGGACATCGCGTGGGATCTCTGAGGGTCCGTGGATGTCCCCGAGTCTGGGGGTGGCGTTGTCACCCGGTTTGGGGACATCGCGTGGGGTGTTTGAGGGTCCGGTGATGTCCCCGAGTCTGGAGGTGGCGTTGTCACCCGGTTTGGGGACATCCCTTGGAGTGTTTGTGTTTGCCCGCGGGTGTTTCCGAGTCTGGAGGTGGCGTTGTCACCCGGTTTGGGGACATCCCGTGGGGACTCTGAGGGTCTGTGTGTGCTCGCGGATGTCCCCGAGTCTGGGGGTGGCGTTGTCACCCGGTTTGGGGACATCCTGTGTGTGTCTGCGGGTGTCCCTAAGCGCGGGGGTGGCGTTGTCACCCGGTTTGGGGATGTCCCTTGGAGCTTCTGAGTGTCCGTGTGTGCCTGCGATTGTCCCTAAGCGCGGGGATGGCGTTGTCACCCGGTTTGGGGACATCTCTTGGAGGGTCTGCGTGTGCTCGTGGATGTCCCTAAGCACGGGGGTGGCGTTGTCACCCGGTTTGGGGACATCCCGTGGGGTCTCTGAGGGTCCGGGGATGTCCCCGAGTCTGGGGATGGCGTTGTCACCCGGTTTGGGGACATCCCGTGAAGGGTCTGTGTGTGCTCGCGGGTGTCCCCGAGTCTGGAGGTGGCATTGTCACCCGGTTTGGGGACATCCCGTGGGGTGTGTGAGGGTCCGTGTGTGCTCGCAGATGTCCCCGAGTCTGGGGATGACATTGTCACCCGGTTTGGGGACATCCCGTGTGTGCCTGCGGGTGTCCCTAAGCGCGGGGGTGGCGTTGTCACCCGGTTTGGGGACATCCCGTGAGGTGTTTGAGGGTCCGGGGATGTCCCCGAGTCTGGGGGTGGCGTTGTCACCCGGTTTGGGGACATCGCGTGGAGTGTCTGTGTGTGC